ATTTTAGGAAAGAGGCTCCTGAAAACACAGACGAAGAGTTAAATGTGAGGTGACCGAGAGCAGCTGTGTCTACATCGTATCGTGGCTGTATCTTGGGAGCTGTGATAGGCGTTAGCTCCATGGTGACACTACAAGCCGGTCACGTAAATGTGAGCACAAAGGACACCGACTAATCAGCTGCCTAGAACACCTGCAAGGCCAGGGGTAACAATGCCAGCCAGATTCAAGAGCTAGCAGACGGTCCATGTCAGCGGCTGACAAATCAGAAGTCAGAGAAAGACGGGTGCGTGTGTGTGTGTGTGTGTGTGTGTGTGTGTGTGTGTGTGTGTGACAGGGTTGTGATGGGTAGCAAATGAGCACATGACCATCTCCCGACTGAGCCAGAACACAGACAGATGTCACCCCAAATGGCCAAACCTGTGGTATTATTCCCAGAGTGCTAACCAGTCTGGGTAGAAATACCTCAGTTATTGTCAGTTTCCACAATTAATACTATTACCCCCCCCCCCCCCAGAGGAAACAGGTTAACTTTTTCCTGTCTCTTGGAAGTCCCTCCCTGTTCTTGGGAACTTCACTTTGCTCGATTCCTCACGTTCCATTAATGTCTCTTCATTGAGAGAATTAATTCTGTGTTCCTTTCTCCTACAAGTTCCCTGTCTTTAATCATCACCAGAGTGAGACCACCAACCTGAGCACCACTCTCTCAAGTTGCCTTTGGTGACCCCTGAATTTCTGCTGCCCTAAGCTCCTGGGTCCTGCAAACCCAGGCCAAGGATGTTCTCCCCTCATCCTCGATCATTCCTATCATTCCTTTTCAGGATCCAGATGTTGGCTGCCTCGCTTCTGTGTCTGTAGTCTGTGACCTGGTGACGTGGCCACAAAGGTGGAAAATTGTGGGTCTGAGCTGGGCGCTCTGTATCTACTGGGAATAACATACGTATATCAGGAAGAGATTGGCTTTGTGAGGTGTTTGCTAGGCTGCTGTATTTATACTTGCGGGCCTCAGTTCTGTGAAACTGAGCCTCTCTTTCTATTCTTTTCAGCAAGGCTCCAGCAGCACAGATGAAAGGCAGCCTTGCCATTGACTTTTGTCCTGGGTTAAATCCTTATGGCTTGCTTTATTTCTGATTGCACTGCATAGTGTGGTGAGTTTTTATGCTGTTTGTTTGGTTGGTTGCCTTAGAAAAGCAATACTTAAACTTTTTGGTCTAAAACATTACTAAAGAGTTAAAAGGCTTAAGGTTGGTTATTTCCACTATTAAATATTGAAACAGACATTAAGAATATTGAAGTGGAGATTCTGTGAATTACTTCACCCATTTTGGCACCCTCTAAAACACAATTGTAAGAGATAGATACCAAACAACAACAACAACAAAAAAAAAAAAAACGGAGCTTAGGAGATGGTTTGATTGATAGGGGCTTGCAGTGAAATCTTGAGGACTGGGGTTAGCTCCTCATGGAAAAGCTCAGCCAGAATTTCTGGGCTTGACTGTAACTCTAGCCCTGGGGAGGCAATAACAGGGAATCTCTTTGGCTTGCTGACTGCAGGAAGATAATTTCAGAACCCAGCCTCGGTGCTGGGAAAAGGGTATAGAAGGCTCTCCCCATTGCTGAATAAACGGAGTTTGCTTTGACTTGCCTGACTCCCAGAGTCTGTGCCCTTGACCCTGTGCCCTCTCACTCCCCCACCCCCCAAGGGAGTCCTTAGGACCCAGCCACAGCTGGCCAGCCTGCACAGCCACCTAGTGAGCTTCACATTCAATGAGAGAGCCTGTCTCAAAAACATAGGGTGGAGACTTGACTAAGGGAGACAGCTGACATTCACCTCTGGCCTCCACACCTGTGGGCAAGCGTGCACATTCATCGCACACCCACATACATGCTCACCCACACGTGTTCCAGAAAGCAAATGCTGTAGTCGTGTCATGAAAATAATACTGACCGTGAGTGCCCCTTGAAAGTACCTCGGGATACCTGGTCTACACATTGAGAGCCAACCTAGACAGCGTACAACTTTGTGATTCCTTAGCAGTTGTAAGACCCAGAACAGGGAACTTCCAAATATAAGAGCTCCTCTAGGAACAGTGCCGTCGAGCAATGGACAGTCCAAAAGAAAGGCCAACCAATCCGTGAACTTCTTTCATCTTATATTTGGGAGAGGTTGGTTTCTGCCATTGAATAATAATTTTATACGTGAAAGGTCACAGTGCTTATTGTAACTGTGTCAAACTAATTAATTCTGGCATTTAGGAAATACAAACTAAATATATCACAAAAATAGAAACACATTACAAAGAAAATTTTGCTCGTTCGGTTTTGTACACTTACTGTTGTGGTCGGCCAACCAACCTAAACACATCGTTTCTTACTTGGCACATTTATTGCTTTCTATAGGAATTGAAATGCTGAATAGGCCAGGCCTTTTTATAGCCAGGCTGCAGGCATGTGAGCTAGGCATAATTGATGGACATCCATGTTTCACGCTGTGGTATGGAAACTGCAAACTTATAGAAACCCCCTCAGGCAACTGCACACAGTTTCCACGGCAACAATGCGTTGCCAGAGTCTCCGGCCGAGACTGTTGGCGTTGTAGCAGATGGCAAGGTGGCGTTCTGGTCTGTTAGACTTCTGTGAGGTTTGGGTGGTGTTCCTGGAAATGCAGCCTCAGAGCCCGATTTCCTGGAAATCCGTGATCTCTCCGTTATTCTCAGAATTCAAGTGAGTCGGGGGCTTTGCCCGCAGCTAAGAATCCTGTGTGATACATTTGCAGGCGCAGTTAGTGCAGATCTGTTCACCTTCGCTTCCGGAACTGCGTGTATGGAAATCCCGGGCTTCGTTCTAAAATGCCTGTTTCTGGGCTTAGTAGCTTTGTGGATGAGTTCTAGGGCTCTGTGTTTTAATTAATTTAAAATATAGTTTCATAAATCCAAGGGTGCCTTGAACTGATGTGTAGCTCAGTATGACCTTGAACAGAAACCTGACCCTCCTGTCGCCACCTGTCCAGAATTAACCCTACTTTCACAAAGCCCGTTGACCAGCTAGAATTTCTTTGTTCCCATGCGCCCTCCCCCACCCATTCACACTGTTCTGGTTCTTTCTTTAACTCCCCCTTTGCCCTCTTCTTTTTTTATGTTTGAGACAGGGTCAGGGTCTCACTTAGCCCAGGCTGGCCTTCAATTTTCTATATAGCTCTCTTTGTAGCTGAAACTGACTTTGAACTCCTGATCCTACTGACTCTACCCTATTAGTGCAGATGTTACAGACACGTGCAGCTGCATCAGACAGGGAGTCTCTTCAACTCTTCAGTTTGTTGTTTTCTGAGAACTGAGAAGTGGCAATTCCCCAGTGAGAGTGGCCTGCATTCTACATCAGCCACAGTGCCGGAGTGATCAGTTCACACTGTGACTTGTGACTGTAGCTCTCTGTGGTGGCATTTCATTTGTATTTTAATAAATAAAACCTGCCTGAAGATCAGAGAGTCAAACACCTCCACTGGCCAGCCTTACAGACCAAGCAGTGGTGATAGTACACCTTTAATCCCAGTGCTAGAGAGGAATGTAAGACTGGAGGAGATGGCTCTCAGACAATCTCTTTCTGAGATTCCTGAAGGCAGGCTCGCCATTTCAGACTGAAGTTGAGGTAAGAGTCAGTGCCTGGCTGTTTTGCTTTTCTGACTTTCAGGTTGAACCCTAATTTCTGTCTCTGGTTTTTTATTTATCATGCTCCAGTTCTCCCTGGCAGTTTCTTTTCTGACATCTTTGTAACTCGGGCATACTGCTCAGTATTTACTCTACGGTTATCTGGAGACAAGAAGGAAAAAGCCAGAACCTAGCGGCACGGTCGTTTTCTTTGAAGGGTTTCTGTGGGTTTGGAATGAAAACTAACATCACGATCAGTTGACTGACCTGACTGGAGCTTTCTGAAATCACAGAATGTTGCAGCTGAAACGACTGCCACCTGCCACAGTCTCCTAAGTGAGAAGATGGATGTCCAGATGTGACGGGGATTAGAGGTAGAAAGTGGGGATGGAGAGGTTGCCCTCACTGATGTCCAGAGAAAAGGCTAGCAATGGTTATGATTTAGCACTGTTGAAATCTAGTTTCCTCAGATGAAAATGAAAGATTCTGATAATTGTAATGTTTATAGGATATTGGCTATGGGATAGGAACTCTTAATAGTCTACCTGCTAACTCATTTAATCCTTGTTACAGCCATGTCATTGGTACTGTTGCTTCTCCAGTTTTCAGATGTCCCAACACTGTAACTTATCTGTAGTCACACAGCTGGCTGGCTTTCTATTGCTACCTTATTCATTTCCTTGGGTTTAATGGCTGTACCCATCCCAGATTTTTATGGGCATGTGTCTGAGCATAGCCTACTTAGCTTCTCTGCATGCTATCTTAAGGTTGCAGTCAAACCTTTGACTTAGTAGGACAGACTAGGAATCTATAACTTGGGTGTTGGTGAGTAGGGACTCAGCTGTGGCTGAGGCTCCTCCTTGAAGTGCTTGTGGGTTTTGGTAGAATTGGCTTTCTCGCAGCTGCAGAAGGCCCACTAAAACTGGTCTTGTCCCTTCTCAAGGGGAGGGGACTCCACAAACTGGCTCATAATGGCAGGACACATGGAGTTGTCTTACACTTCTTGAAACCCAGCCTGGCTCCAGGCTCCTCTCCAGTCAGTGACCCCAGCATTCTTGATTATTTTCTTTTTATTCTTCATTTTCTTTTTGAAGGAAGTAAGCCATCAATGGGATTCTCAATAAACAAATACAGCAGCTTCACATGCTCTGCTCATCAAACATTAATTCTCTGCATCTCTCTGCCTTTGAGGGTCAATTTCAAAAACCCACAACCACCCATGGTTTTCTAGGGAAGAACTCTTTAGGCACTCTGGTTGTGTAACTTTTTCAGTGTTCACGTTCTTTTGAGTTTATAACTTGGGGACTGAGACGAGTTCTCATAGAGTAACTTCAGCTTTGCTCTGTGTCTTTGAAACAGATGAAGTGATTGAGAAGGAAGCACGAGCTGAGCACCTTGCCTTTGCAGCCGGGACAGCATGGAGCAGCCATTCACTGTGAACTCGCTGGTAAGTTCTCCCAACTGACACTTTGTCTATAATTGAAAAGCTCCAAAAGACGAGCAGAAAGGACCGACTGTGAAGAGAATCACAACCACTTCAAGAAGCATAGCACTTCCTTACAGCCTTGTGTGTGCCTGTGTCCTTTGGGGAAGTGACTAAGAAAGCCATCTCTGACAGACAAAAATATCGTTTTACTGACACACCTGTGAAATTTTAATCTGTGTGGCTAGATTCTAAGAGTGTAGATCCTTTCGAGAAACACTGGAGGGGATTTCAGCGTGGACATCACCTTGATTGCTTCAATCTCAGCTTCTCTACAGATAGAAGCTGGAGGTTTGCTTTGGGTGGCAGTAACTGGAAAAGAGTCAGGTGCTCAGCATGGCGCTGGCAGTGTTGCTTGTGCATCCTCATTGCGTGCCTGCGGTTTTGAAACTCTCGCTCTTCTCACTTTCCCTCTACAGCCCTGCAGAGTTCACACCTTTTCCAGCTGCATCCCCTGAAGTGCATTGTGTTGGAAAAGCAGTAACTAGGACTTTGAGAACACAATGTGCTTGTTTGGTGCCCCAGATCAGTCCCTAAATGTGAATGTAGGATGCTGTGCCATCTCTTTGGCCCTCCTTTGTGCTGTGCTCTCAGACTATTGTGGGGACTTGATAAAATGGAGGCTGTTAAATTTTTCCTCCAGATGGAACTCACGGTAATGGTGACCCTGAGAACAACAGTGGTCTGAATACCATGTCTACACAAAACACAGACCTTGAACACATAAAGAGCATAAAGAATTAGAAGTCCCTTGAACTGAAGTGGGTTGTAGCAAGAATGCTTTAATCCTGATCAAGAATGACTTTCGTAGACTCCTTGAGAAGGAGGTGCTGCAGAAACTTTGAACTTCCTGACCCCAAGGGAGACAAGCTCCCATTCCTATCCCTCTGTAGGGAAGTCTTCAGCAGCTTCTCTGAAATAAGAAAATTATTCAGAAAGCTACAAGAACAGTATTGTAAGGTGTGGGTCAAAGCAAGAATGTGTGAAAGTGTGTTTTTCTATGTGACATAGTACTTTATTTTTTAATTGATGGAATATTTTAAAATGTTTTTTCAATTTTTAGAGAATTCTATACATTCGTACAATGTATTTTGATCATATTAGTCGCCTAGTCCTCCCCTTACACTTCTCAGAGCTGTGGCTACCCACTCTCCCTCCCAACGTTATGCCTTCTCTTTTTATGTAGTCCACAGAGTCCAATTTGTGCTGCCTGTGAACTCATGGACATGGTGAACTAAAGCATAAATAACCTACCAGAGGGCCACACCTCCAAGGAAAACCAAATCTCCCCTCTCCAAGAATCCATCAATGTCAAGAGCCCCTCAACTAGTAGTGGGGCCTCATGAGTCTCTCCCCAATTATGTTGGAGTGTTGACTGACTTCATCTTGTATAGATCTTGTGCCGTCAAACAGACTGTCTGAATTCATGCGTGCATCTGACATGTCAGGAAGACAGTCTCTTACACCTTCTTGACCTCTGATTCTTATCTCTTTCTATCCCCTCTTCCATTATGGTTCCTGAACCTTGGAGGGTCTGTAATATAGATGTCCCTTTTGTGGCTGAGCACTGCATAGACGCTTAATTATTCTCTGTACTTTGACCAGTTGTGAGTTTCTGTATTAACTGCCATCCACTGTAAAAATAAACTTCTTTGATATGGTTCAAGAGCTCCATAAATCTGTGGGTATTTAGAGAGCAATTTTGATATTCTGTCTGTTTAGCAAAATAACAGTAGTAAGTCCTATGAGCTCCCAAACATGGGTTCTTGGATAGCACCAAGCATGCATTTCCCTATGACCTTAAATTTAAGGAGAAAAGCAGTTGGTTACCTCCATAACATTCTTGCCACTATTGCACCCAAGGGCATATCTCACCATATTAGTCATTATTGTATCTCACAGGGGTCATAATTGGATAAGACTGCTGATAACCTTTCTCCATCAGCAGCCTGAATAGCATCTTTGCCAACAGGGAGGAACTTCCTGGTCAGTACTAACTTGATTTCTCCATGTATTGTTAACAAAGTATGTAATGCCTTCAGCAATAGGGTCTTACTACCAAGTTCTAGTGAGAAAACAAGAGCAATGGTGATAGCCTGTATTGCTTAGGATGTCTCCAGCACACCCCTCACCAACAGTGTGAGAGGAGGTATCATACACCTGGCACTGTGCTTTGTATCCCGCACTCTCCGATGACTGGAAGAAGCATTATTACCTGGATAAGATAACTATGATTATATTTTTTATGACTCTCTTTCTCTCTCTTGACAGACAAATATTTAGGAAGCTTATAAAGCAGGTTTTCATATGGTTTTCTCAAACATCCTTAGTGTTAGTTTTCTCTTCTTGCCCCATTCTCTGCCCTTGCCCCTCATCCCCTCCCTATTTATGCCTCTTTACCCATTATTCTCCTCCCTTTGTATCACCTAAGCCCTACTATCTCTTGTAACCTTAAGATTTTTTTTTAAACCTTTCCCATCCCACCGATGACCCCTTTCCCATTTCCTGGCTTCTACAAGTATTCCAAGTTAGATACGCAAATCTAAAGGTTTAATGTTAGGATCCACAATTGGCTAAGAGCACGCTCCATTTGTCTTTCTGGGTCTTTGATTACCTCACTCAGGGTGATGTTTCCCAATCTTGTCCATTTAAGTTTTTTTTCTTTGCAATTGAATAAAATTTGATTGTATCTAGGGACCTCATCTTCATCATCCTTTGTGCAGCTGATGGCATCTCGATTGTTTCCATGCCCTAGCTATTATAAATAGAGCAATGATGAACAAAGTTGAGCATGTGTCTCCGAAGCAGGGAAGAGAATGGTTTGGGTATATGTCATGCAGTAATGTATCTGGATCATATGGTAGATCTATCTGTAGTTTGGTTGGTTGGTTTTTTCGACAGGGTTTCTCTGTGGCTTTGGAGCCTGTCCTGGAACTAGCTCTGTAGACCAGGCTGGTCTCGAACTCACAGAGATCCGCCTGCCTCTGCCTCCTGAGTGCTGGGATTAAAGGCGTGCGCCACCATCACCCGGCCTCTATCTGTAGTTTTTTAAGAACTCCTACACTTATTCCCATAGTGGTTGCACCAGTTTGTACTCTGACCAACAGTGCATAAAGATTCTCTTCTCCCTACATCTTTGTCAGTATTTGTTTTCTTTTGTGTTCTGAATCTTAGCCATTCTGACTGGAATACAGTGAATTCTCAAAGTAGTTTCTATCTGTAATTTTCTGATGGCTAAGGATGGTGAATATTTTAAAAATATCCCTTGGCCATCTGTATTCCTTCTTCTGAGAACACTCTTCATATTGTTTAATTGGGTTGTTTTGTTCATATTTATATTATTGAGTTCTTTCTATATTAGAGATGTTAGTCCTCTACCAGATATATAGCTGGCGAATAGTTTTCTTTTTAATGCATTTCTGTAGGCTGCTTCTTCAGTTAGTTAGCAGGTTCCTTTGCAGTATAGGAACTTTTCAGTTGCATGAAGTCTCACTTGTTGATTGTTGATCCTATTTCCTGGGAAACCAGGGTCCTCTCAAAAAGTTCTTACTTGAGCCTGTATCCTGTTCTTTCTTCTAGAAGTTTTAGGTCTAGCATTGGAATCTGTGATCCATTTGTAACTGATTTCTTTTGCAGGATAAAAAGAAAGGTTCCATTTACATTCTTCTACATGTAGACAGATAACAACTTTCTGTTAGAGGTGCTCTTTTCTCCAATGTATATTTTTTCCATTTTTTTTCAAAAACCAGTAACTGTAAGGTGCATGAGCTTATATCTGGGTCCTTGATTCTATTCAACCAATCATGCTGACTGTTTTTGAACTTTTTAAAAACTACTATAGCTTTGTAGTATAACTTGAAATCAGAAATGAAGATTCTCCCGGCAGTGTTTCTCTTGTTCTGGTTGTCTTGGTTAACCCGAGTCTTTTGTGCTTTCATATGAATTTTAAAATTTCTTTTTCAATTTCTGTAAAGAATTGCATCACATTTTGATGAAGATTTCATTGACTCTGTAGATGGCTTCTGGTAAGATGACCATTTTCACTGTATTAATGTTACCCGCCCATGTGCGTGAGAGTTCTCTCCATCCTCTGGTATCCTCTTTGGTTTTTTTCTTCAGTGTTTTAAAGTTTTCATCCTATAAGTTGATTTCAAAGTTTTTGTTAAGCTTCTGTGAATGGGATTTCCAAGCTTCTTTCTCAGTCTGGTGTTTTTTTTTTTTTTTTTTTTTTTTTTTTTTTTTTTTTTTTTTTTTTTTTTTTNTTTTTTTTTTGTCAGTATAATAGGAAGGCTGTTAATTTTATAGCCTGCCACTCGTCTGAAAGTGGTTGTCCTTCTCTAGAAGTTTCCTGGTAGAGTCCGTGGGGTTTCTCATATATGGAATTATTTGCAAATAGAGATACCTTGGCCTCTTCTGTTCCCATTTGTATCTCTTATGTCATTTTCTTGTCTTATCGCTCTAGCTAGAAATTCAAAAAAAAAAAAAAAAGAAAGAAATTCAAGCACTGTGTTTTATAGGAGTAGTAACATACTTACCCTGATCTTAGTGGCAATGCTTCAAGTTTTTCTGTTTCATGTGATTGTTGGCTATTGGTTTCTCATATATACCTTTATTCGTTGAGATCTCTTCCTTCCATCCCTTCTTTCTACAGAAATTTTATCATGAGCAAATATTGGACTTTGCTAGAAAATTTCTTTGACAATTCCAACAGATTATTAAAAGATATTTATAGAATATATGATATATATATATGCACACATATACATACACACTCTGCAGGGATTTAAACAGGGCTGTTGTCATTTCCAGGCCTCTGTGTTAGAAACTTTCACATTATTATATAATTTGTGTCTTTTGTTATCCTATCCTGCCAGCTCTATTTTGGTTCCTATTGTCTAATGGAAGAAATGTGTTTTACTTTGGCATAAACCAAGGTAGGAAGAGAATATTTTGCATTTGCTGCTCATCATCTATCTCTAGTTTTTAATTCCAAGAGAAAATAAATCAAAAAGTGTAAGGTGAGAATCAAAATTTTGTGTATTTTTTTTTTATGGTGGTCACTTGGACCAGAAACTTCTTTTCTTTGGGAATGTAGAAGACTAAATATTACTATTTCTTGGACTGTAATTGGACCAGGTATGCCCATCAATCTGCAGGAAAGTTACCTGGAGACCTTGCCTGGCACTTCCTTGGGTAAGAATTAGCAGGAAAGAGCTTTCATGTCCGTTGCTACAGGTCCAACCAAAAGTACCATCAGGTACAGGAAGTGGCTGCCTTCAGCATAATGGAACCTTAAGAAAAGTCTTATGGCTTTTGTTATATATTAAACCTTTAGAAAAAAGAATCGTTTCAGATTTCTAGTATTTTACTTGCTTTAAAGTTGGAAATAAAGTAAATCAAATGACACAAGAAAAAACTCTTATGTGCCTAATCCCCTGTGCTCTGCCCAGTGGCTAGTTATTCATGGCAGAATAAAGCTATATCGGATATAAATTTTTTTCAGAGCTTTCTACAGCCTTTATTCAAACGTTTTGCCTTCCCTGTAGTTGGGCTTACAAGTCACCCATATTTGATTAAGGAAGGCTCCAAGATGCTGAGTTTTCTCTGGAGTAGCCTCATTCTTGGACTGTGAAATCATGGTCAAATGCTCTAAAGCTGGAGAACGCACTAAGTCCTTCTGCGAACACTAACTGAAGCAGCAATTTTCCAGCCACCTCCAGAGGTCCTGAGTTTGTAGATCTTCAGTGGAGCCAGTTAGGAATTTGCATTTTTTTTTTTTTTTTTGAGAACAGCTGTCTTGCTGCTGATGCTGCAGGTGCCTGGACCGTACTCTGGAGACAGACAAGTCTGAACTAAGGGGAAAAAAAGCTGTGGTCTGAGCGCTGTATTCATCGCCTTGGCAAGGAGCCAGGGCTGTTCATGTCCACATCGTTTACAGCTGCTCTTACATGCGGAGACCTGAAGTCAAGTTGTAAAGAACATAAAATATCTACTACTGTGCCCTAAATAAATGGAAAAACAAACCAAAACAAGCCAATCTTCGAGTCTGGCATTTCTGAAGCACAGAGCCCATCTTAGTTATCCTGACTATGTATGCTTTGTGCACATCTGAGAGTACATATAATGGCATTATTAGTAAAATTCAAAGATAGAAATTACTTTTCTCCATAATTTATTACCATATTCTCACTTGAGAACTAATTGACAGCAATTACTGTTAGATGGAAGTTTATTAGATTTATTTGTGTTAAAAGAAAAGTAACGGGGCAGGGGTGGGGCTTGGAGAGTGTTCTTTTTCTCTGAAAGGGCTTCTCCAGGAGTTAGCAGTGGTTTTTTTGTTGTCGTTTCTTTTGTATAGTGGCAATGGAGGGAGACCCTAGAAACTCCCGATTAAACTAGATATATTGTGGGATAGAACCAAATCCTAACAATAATTTCAATGTAAGCAACTTTCTGGAGAACCTCAGAGTCCCGTGACGTGAGCCCTCCTGTGGCAAGAATGACCCAGAATGGTTAACATTACGACTTACATGATGCTTATACCTAAAACACTTGCACACCCAGGAAATGCCACATGATTGTACTTTGAAACCTATGAAGAGGTCTTAGACCAATAAAAGTGTTTATCTTTTCCTGGATGTGTGTCTCGGGTGTGACTGTGCAAATAGGTCTTACACTGATCCTATCATTAACTCTTACAGAAGGATTTTCGGAGGTACTAATATTGGGTTTGTGGTACAGAAATTACATGAATTAAATAGCTATGTAATTTTTAAAAACCTATAATCAGATACTTAAATGTTTCATTGCAGAAAAAGTTGGCTGCAATGCCTGATCATACAGATGTTTCTCTAAGTCCGGAGGAGCGGGTCCGCGCCCTAAGCAAGCTTGGTTGTAATATCTCCATTAACGAAGACATCACCCCACGCCGTTACTTCAGGTCCGGAGTAGAAATGGAAAGGATGGCGTCTGTGTATTTGGAAGAAGGGAACCTGGAAAATGCCTTTGTTCTTTATAACAAATTTATAACGTAAGTCTGGGGTCTTTAGAATGAGAACATTGAAACAATATTTATGTGATATTTTGACATGGCAGTTTGGATACCACGAGAGTGTTCATATTCAGACCAGTTTAACCATTTTCTAAAAATGGAATATGTATGTCGATATGCATTGAAACGCATCAAGATACCCTCCACGAGCCTCAGGAATGAGAGGGTCAGGAGGGGTGGAGGCTCTTTTCACATCTATAGTTTCATACTTGGTACCATTTTCCTCCCGTAGCAAGAGAGCCTCCTGAGAGCAGGTGCCATATTGCTTCATCTAGAGCATGTAGAGTCTGCCATTGATGTTTAAAGACTTGATCTGAAGGTTTGAGAGCAGGGACACCTTGGGGAGCATAGGAGAGGTGTGATTCCTGACGAGGGCACGGCAGTTCATTTCACACAGAATCCAGCAGCTGCCTTTGAGAAGCATTTGCTCGTTTGCGCAAGAAGTTAATCTACAAAAGAACTGTCAGAATAGTGAGCAAGAGTGGCTACAGCACATCCATCAGAAACTATCACATGTGTGTTAGTAATGGATCCTAACTTTAGAGTTAGCGAAGGTGATTTTGGACTTCTGTTACACGTTTGCTAATTTCACTGCACAGAGGATCCCTTCTTGACAATAATGATGGACTCTAAGCTAAGCCTTTCATTGTTTTAATTTAAAGCCACGTGTTAATTAGTGTCATTAATTTGCTTTTAGTTGGAAAATAGTTGGGCATATTTATGTTTTTATTTGCCTGTGTGGCTAAATCAAGCTAATTAGCTTTTTTATATCACCCACTTGCTGATTTTCGTCATGATAATATTTAAAAATTTGTTGTCTTGGCAACTTTCTAGTGTATAGTTCATTATTTATGGATACCATGTTGTACAGCAGATCCATAAACTTATTCATCCATCTGAAATTTTGAACTGTTACTGTTTAAAAAAAACTGTGCGTGTGCATGCACATGTATGTGTGTGTATGTTTCTGATGGCTATACATACATGTACGTTTGTATATATGAATGCAGGTGCATGCATACCACAACATACACATATGGAGTTCAGAAAGCAACCTCATGTGTCAGCCTTTCCTTCCACCTTGTCTGAAGTCAGTGTTTCATGTAGGTCAGACTGACGGAAAGATACCATGTACCGGGGAAAGGATGGAGTTAAATGCTTGTTCTTTTTGCCTCTACTTCCCAAGTCTTGAGGATTGCAAGCATGCATCACTGTGTGTGGCATAGCCTTTGTCTTTTAAAAATCCCAAATGTGAAGTAGGATCAAAACCCCTTGCCATTGACCTTGGCTTCTCATCAGTCCTCATTGTTCGCCATGATCAGAGAGTCCGGTTTTATCCCCATGCTGTTCCAGTCACAGTCCAGCTGGCTTTAGTGAGCTCCCAATAGATCAGCCCCACTGTCTCAGTGGGTGGGTGCACCCCCCGTGGTCCTGACATCCTTGCTCGTGTTCTCCCTCCATCTGCTTCTCATTGGGACCTTGGGAGCTCAGTCCAGTGCTCCAGTGTGGG